CCGGAATGAGCCCATGTGAAACCTGAGCCAAGGAGTGGGGTCCCCCCCAGAGGTCAGACGAATCTGGAGACATCCATCGTACCGGTCACCTGAAAATGTGTGACTGTTTCCTGTTTTAAAGCTCATTTTAATTTAGTGCCTGCCATGAATGCGTAAACACGGTATGTGTACCAACAGACTCAAACCCTGAAAATGAAGAACCGTGGCTGCCAGTGCTGAAAAAAGTCTTGCCAATAAAAAGTATCATTGTTATAGATCTTTACATACTTTACATTTCTTACACATCTCTTAGTACATACATAACAACCAGGGCATCGTAGAGAAAATTAAAGCAAACGTGACCAACCACAAAAAAAGTTTCGGGGCAATAAATCTCCTAAGGGTCGGATACCGGGGGTTAAAAAGTACAAAGTTCCAGCTATGAGATAAACAAGCCGTGAGGATGTGATGCAGAACAGGGCGACCAGTTAACAACGCGGCTGCATGTTCCAGTTTCTAAGAGTAGATCTTAGATGTTCCCGTCACACACACACAGTAACTTTGTAACAATGTGGCGCTGGGTGCTAAGTGACTGGACTTACTGTGGCCGTCACTTCGCAGCGTGTACAAGTATCAGATTAGGCTGTACAGCTGAACCTAAGTGCAATGTTGTTAATTATCTCAATTAAAGAAGGAATTGCATAAAAATGATTCCTTAAATGTTTTTCTTCCTTCCCTCGTAATTTCTTTCTGGAGTTGCATGGTTTAAGCAACATGACAAAGTGGTTTCCCCCGAATTAAAATACATGATGTGACCGACTACTCTCTTGCAGCAGAAATTAAAACTTCTAAACATCAAAGCAGCCCATGCAAACAAAGCAACGAGGCAGCCCCGACCCACTCAGGATTACTGAAAGAGCACAACGAATTAAGCGCCGTGTTTTCAAGAATCCTGAAACAGAAACCTTTCATTAAAGCAGTAATTCTACTCACTGCAGAAGTCCGCCTTCCCTGGCGACCTGCGCTGGGGCCTCTCCGAGTAACCGCACAGCCGGGGAGGGGCGCGAAGGGAGCCGAGCTGCAGGCTCAGGTGCGGGCGCTAAGGCCGCCCCGGGCCTGCCCGCCGGTGCGTGGAGGGCGGGCGAGCCACGGGTGATGGGTCGCGGGCGCACTCAGGGCCTGGGGACAGGCAGGCCCCGGACACGTCTAAAGGCAGTAAAAAATGTCCAGCGCACACATGTGTTGGCCTCTTCCCATCTTTTAGTCTTGTTAAGCCCCGGGCCCTGTGGAAGGAGCTGGAAACATGATGCAATTTCTGTCCTCAAAGTCCTCCTGCCATCTGGGGAGCTTGGTCTCAACGACTCATCAGTTCAATTTGCTCTCTATTAAAGCAGGGGTGTGTGTGAAATCAGGTGTGTGTGAAATTCCGGTTTAGTATACTATGCATTTACTCTTCATGAACTTAGTGAAACCAAAAAGATTTCACGTTCTTTGTGTTTAGCCATTAATGAGCGCTGATCATTGGGTCAATTTATTGCAGGTGCCGAGCAATTAGACTTGAATCATATGGTTTAGTAGATTTTATATTAGATTAAAATAGAAAGAGTTCCCAAAACATGAACTAATGGATGCAGGGATGTGCTGAAGGCATCCATCCAGGACTCTGGGGAAGGGCCGGCTCTGCTCGCACCTGCCACCTCCTGTCACCCTCCGACAGGGGATCTTCTAAGAGAACAGGTTTGGTTTTGTGTTAAGGTTCCTGAATGGAGCCGTGGAGAAGGGGGCAAACTGGATCTGCTCCAACCACGGGTAGTGGTCAGGTCCTGGCCTAAATCACGAGAAGTTATAAAACAGAGACGTCAAACACATCCGGAGGGAGCAGGAGGCAGAAAACTCAGCGGGGTGTATTTAAAGACCCAGCGCAGTCATGGTGTGTTTACAAATGAATTGCTTATTGACTTGACCAGAGAGTCAACATTTTGGAGCCAAATAGCCACAGTCCAGGCTGACGCTGGCCCTCCTGTCTCATGCCCGGCAGGAGGCTCTCGAGGGCAACTGGCACAGGCCACACTCAGGAAATTAAAGATCCGAAAGTTGCGCACGGATACCCCCAGGCAGCATCACTAAAGGCAAGACCTCATCACAAATAAACGCACTCGATGTTTCTATCAATACGTGAAATGTGAATTCATGTCCTGAAATCCAGCACTCACTTTTTAAAACAGTAGTTACTACACTTTTAAAAATGCTCTTAACAAATTTTTCAGTCTTCATCACAAATGTTTCCAGGGGAGATTATCCCTCACTTTATTATGCTTGGTTTCCAATTGCCTGAAAATTTCCACCGCTCTTTGGCCATGGACAGAATTCCTAATCACTTGGTATTTTTAATTCTGGCCGTTCTAATTGCCCCCGCGAAGTTGGAAACACCTTGTTTCCGTATCTGAAGCTCTTCAGCGCCGCTGAAATGTTTATTCGGACTAAGCGCTGCTTATTCCAATGAAAAACCATCAGGTGCCCCTAATATCGTACCAGGGCACTTGCTTGTAAAGCCTTATGCTTATTTTAAAAATGCTTTGGCATTTTCTATAGCTTTGCTATTTCAAAGACAACAGGGGACCGAGAGGTGGAGAAGACAGGGCCTGGGCCCCACGGTGGGGCTCCGAGTCTCGGGGTTAGGATTCTCCTGGCCTGGGGCAGCCACAGCCTCGCCCTGGGCTGTTCGACAGGAGGTGGTTGGTCCTTCCTGTGCCCACCTGCAGCCTGCTTTTGAAACTAAGGTCAAGTTCACTAGTCCCCACCAGAAGAAAGTATTTAATTAGAAGCTGGTTATAACCTGCTTTGATCTGTTTATTATTTTGATTTGAGCAGAGTTTTTTCCTCTGGGAAGATATTTCTTTGGGACAATGAGAAGTGGCTTGGAAGGACAC